ATAAGTTGCCTAGTACAAGGATAAATCTTAATTTGGCTAAAGTGAGAACTGAGAATTACTTGCATGATGTTCAGTGCTTCAAAATAAAGAATTTTTCTCCTTTAGTTAGTGATAATAAATCAAGCACAGCTACTTAATTATCTTCAGCAACATGTTTTCCTGGGTAAATGTCAGTCATTTCACAGCATGCTTTTTGCCAGAAACATTAAAAATTAGTTTGTTTTCATTAGAATAAAGATCATAAGATATTTCTTTTTCAAAATCCAGTCATTTATAGCTTAGTTGGCTGAAGAACAAAGTTGAAGCTTTTTTTTTTTTTCAAATAGTCATCGTTTTTTCCATATTTTACCTCTGAGTTTGAATTATTAGTAAAGGCAGTAAACATGTTATATTTATATTACTCCAGTGTTTTGACTATTAATACTATCCCATCCCATGAATGTATATTTGTAAAATCTTTTATTATAAAACTTTAGATCATTTCCTGTATTGGTCATTGCTCTAAATAGAAATCGATTTCTATTAAACCACTTGAGATTATTTTGTTTATCTATTATTACTACAGTATATAGCCATACTTGTCCTGCCTAAGTACATCACAAAAGATGTTTCTTTATGAAAACATATGACAGACTGACAACCTTTTGGAGTCTCATTCTGTGCTCTCAAGTAAAATTTGAAATTCATCACATTTGATGCAAATTAGTAAAGTTTTTGAAATATGGCAATAATCAGTAATAAAATACTTGTAATTCTATAATTATTTTTTCTGTGATATAATTTAATTGTGTCCATATAGCTATATAGTATACTTATAAACCTGAACTTCAATACTTACCTCACTTCTAGTAATAGTGTCTCAGTGGCTCTTTCTTTTGCTGATTAAAGATTTTCAGAGGAAAAAAAATAAATGATTGCATTTTAATGAGAATCTTGCCTAAAGAGTTCATATGATTGTTTAATAATATACAGATCACAGATTGAAAATCATAAATTTAGAAATGCTTCCTTTTCAGATTGCAAGTCTAAAGCTATCTAGCCTGCTATCTCTAGACTTAAATGCATTTTATGTATGATGAAAAAACAGAACACATAAATCTTTGTGTGGAGCTATAACTTTCTTTGACATGTGACTAATTTATGGTGCAATTCATGAAATATTTCTATTATGAATTTTTAAAAAATAGATTTCTCTTTTATTTTTACTAAAATATTTTGTTTAATTACATACAGTTCTATTAGATTATAACATACAATGTAAGTTTATTATAAGTTCAATTACTGTTTTTAAGAATTATTATTTATAACCTTAGATTGACCAAGAAATAAAGCTGGCCTAATACCACTAGGCTTCTCCAAATGAGACAGACTAGAGATCAGTCTTATAAAAAATAAGAAAGATCAAAATGAAATCCAAGTGGCCTAATATACCACAGGATGAGTATGTTATCTGTCAGAAAAGTTTCCTGGTAGATACTATTCTTATGTTGAATTTGCCTAAAGTCTGTCTCTCTGATTTGCAGTCATAAGAATTTGATGTTGTCATTATTTAATGTTTGAGTACATAAAGAATTGCTGATTATATATCATATATCAGACCAGGTCCAGTTTGGAGTAGAAACTACAGTGATTTGGGCAGAGAACATTTTATATAATGAAATATTAACTGTAACAGAGCACTGGATTAATAACAGATAGGCTAGCAGTATGTAAAGAAAACTTGGAAATAATTAAATTATAGTGGCTATAGGGAATATCTATTATGTTCAGGGCCGAGATGAAGTGCTCCAGGAAAAGAATACAGAATTCAAATGTAAACTCCTTTGGGTATGGTACAGCTGTGGTTCACAGGATGGCAAAGAAATCATTATGATGCTGCAATAGCAGAAAAAGCTGGAAGTCTGCCCTTTAGTGTGCAGGCAAAGTGATCCATGAGGCATTGTCTCTCTGCAGAGACTCTACTACAAATCCATCTGATGGGGTGCTAGGGGGAATCTTCTGGCCCGGGGTGCTGACCGCTACATATTCTGGGATGTGTTCTCTGGAGAAGTCACCACACTGAAGTATCAAGAGTAAGAAACTGTACATGCTGCAGGAACCAGTCATTTGGGAGGAGAGAGCAGATTGTACTTGGGAATTTTTTTGGTCTATGCTCATTAGTGTTTCCTAATATCCAGATCCAGATATAAGGAAGGCAAAAAGAAACCCATGCAACTCATATTTGGGCTGTTCCTCAAGTTCCATTTACCTACTCAGCTTTTCTTCTTCTTCTTCCCATTGTTAAGAGTCTTCTATTTGTATTATTAATATAATATTCAAGGGTTATAAAGGTATCTTAGCAGGAAGACTAGGGAGAAAGTTGCCTACTCCGTTTACTTGGAACCAGAAGTCTATTAATGCATTTAAAACTTTTTCTTTCCCCTGAATCAGTGTTTTCTGGACCTTAAATTAGCACATTGGGATATCATTCTCTGCTTTATGAAAAATACTTCCTGTTTGGCACCTGTATTAGGTTTCCTTCCTGCCACTTTCTTTTCTCCTTTCTTTCTTCTCATTGTTCATTCCCTCCTTTCTATCTCTTCCCCTTTGGCCCCTTTCCTTTCTACGTTCTTCTATCTTGTCATAGTAAAATTACTATTCAGAATCTATTATGATAAAAAGTAATTTATTATTTATGGCTTAATTAAGTTCTCTCTCTTCCAATGGGATTCCTTTGATGTTTATTTTGGATTTGAAATATAAAAGTAACAAAAATGAATTTTATAGTTACAAAACATACTTTGTGTAAACAAGTTTTGGCAAAAATCACAAATAGGTTTCATCATCAGAAATAATTTTATTATTTATTCTAAAGCAATTCAATGTAACTGGTAGCAAAATGGTACACAGACAATAAACAGAATCAATTCCCATAGGGCTACAAGGACCATTATTGACTTTATGTTTTATTTTCAATGTGCTAGTGTAATTATTTTAAAAAGGCAACAGTTTGTTAAAATCAATTTATAAGCATGTTTTATTTTTTTAAATAACCCGAGAGACTAATAAACTATTATTATTATAGCAAGCTGATATGAACTCTGTCAAATATTAAATTTGGGATAACGTTTATAATAAAAAATAATTACTTTAAAAGTTATCAAACAAAATTTTTAGTCTTATAGGAAATATAATTATATCCTAGCTTAAAATCCTAGTCTTAACAACTGTCAAAATGCAAAAATACTAAACTTCAGATCTTGTGGGGAAATAGAAGATTTGTAAAATCTTATTTTATTCCTAAAAATAACCATAATGGAGTAAAAAAATGTCAACTCAAAGAAACATCATACTTGACTATCAGTGTGCAAATATGAAACAAGTTCAGTATGTTCCTTATTTGTTTCCATTACATCATTAGTTCAATTCTGCCGTCAATTTTAACAATTATATGATAGGTGTATTTGTCAAATATATTTCACATTTATAACATACACACACATATATGCATACAATCAGTAAGTTTTAAGGCATGCTCCCAATTTTAAATAACTTGTCATAATTCTACTTCTCTAACCAATTAGAGAAGAATAAAGAGAGCTTCTCTCTGGAGAGAAATTGTTGGTGTTCTTGCCATTCTAAAATATGGGTATTGCAAATTATATTTAAAAATTAAAAAAAAAAAACTCATTTCACTCCCCAAGTCCAAATGTGCAATGACAATATTCTTTGATTTCATATTGTATATCTTTCATTTTTTCCTATGTAATTATTAGGGAAATATTAGGATTTCTTTATATTTTTAAAAAATAAATTTCTATTTTCCTTTCAGTTGATCTGCTTTATTATTTTGTAAAAAGGACAGAAATGTCCCGTACTATTCTTGAGGTCCTAGTATTATTTCATGAATGGAAACTCAATGTCAAATTAAGGAATTTTAAAAAATAGGCAATTAGAAGAAAAATATACTAAAAAATTTAGCAAAGTCTATCCCACAGTAACACTTTAACACCCTTCTACCACCAGGCAAACTATCTGTGCTTTCTCTTGTACTTTTTGGTCTATTTATATAGGGAAGGAAAACAATCCAGACAAAAGCATTAGTGTCTCCAAGGGCCAATTTATATTTAAATTTATAACTGTCAAATTCTGAAAAATTCATGTTAAATTTAAAGGGCAAGGATTACCTATTCTTTAATGCTCATTCCTCACCAAGTTCAAATACAATAATATGGATGATTTCCAAAATTCCATAACAGCATCTTTGTCTTATCCATTTTTATGATTTATTTTAGTTTCTGTTTACTCATTGTCCTCTACATTGGTCATTTTCCCAAAATTGAAACAAAAAAATTTTAACATCCTATTTTGAGGGCAATTATTTTAATGCCAAAGACATATGGAGGATGTTTAAGATTTTGACATATTTCTGTAGTCCATAAAAAGTACAAATATTTTTCCTTCAATTTTAAATTATTTTTCTGGTGAAATTAACTACATAGATATATGAAAAATGTTAAAGTTCAAGAGTCTAATGAAAATCATTTCTGCATATTTCAGAAATCCAGTTACTGTTTCAATTTTTGGAATAAAATTAAAATCAACAACTGTTTATTAAGTGTTTTCTCTATGCTAGGCATTCTTTTAGGAGAATAATATTTACTTTTTAATACACTTTTCTTAGCATAAAGTGTGTGCTGGTTATAAGGTCACCAAAATATTCAGTACTTCATATTTCTTTTTATGTTTTAATTTCTTCTGTGTAATTAAACATGCTATGAACATCTCAAATTCTAAACTAATATATCATATGAAAAGGCAGACAGAAAGGGTTAAAATGACTTTTAAGATTTGTATGCTAAAGCAAACTCTGATTCTTACACAAAAATCAGCCACACAAGTTTGTTGGGTAATCTCTAGGCAGAGAAGACTAGACATTTATGATGAGCTCAGTTTTATAAAACAGCAAGCTTAAAGAATATGCTGACACATTTATTTTTAAGAGGAGTAACAATCTTCAATGTCCTTTGGGACATACCAAATACTAAAATTTTTCATTACTTCATAAAACCTTAATTTTTGTTAAGGTGGCTTCATATAGTTCAAGTTATTGTCAAAGAGTTGAATATCAGATTTAATTTTTTTTTGTTTTACTTTTGGTTTTCAGATTCATTCCACTGTTGTCTTTTAAGTAGTAATAGGGGAAGTACCAATAAATAATACATAGAGTTTCAAAATGATCTATACTTCTAAGAGAATAGATTTTTGCTTTAGTAGGAAAGAGTTAAATATATTTCAGTATAGTTTCTTTTAATTTCTGCAACACTTTTGCTGTTTCAAGCAAGATCCTTATAGGAAAAAGTAGTCTCTTATTTTCCTTTTATCAAAGTTGAGTTTCCTCCCTTGAGTCTTGATTAGTGGCATTGCAGATGCTGTTTTTCCGACTGGGTTCACTATTTGGAAGGTAAGCCAGAGGATCTGGTCGGATTAAGTATCTGATGAAAGAGAAAACAGGAAATCACTTTGCAATAGTAAATAAAGGCAACATTATTTGACACTGACACAGTGGATTTCTACTTTGTAATGAGATCTGATTTCAGGTTATCTAAACTGTTTTCTTTAAATAAAACTAATGAAAAGACCAATTGGTGGAAAGACTAACTATTGAGTTAATCTATAAAATTTTGCAAGGTTTATATTATTCTTTCTACACATGATAAGATAATGATAATGAATACTGATGAATCATAATGAGTCATGAATTATATCACTACTTTTCAATTGTGATCCATTTCAGCATTGTCATCATCTTATTCATTTTTATATTTATTTTAGTTTTCTATTGACTCACTATCTCTTCCATTGGTCATTTTTCTATCAAGGAGGTGGGCATCCTAGACATCATTCTTTCATTACTTAAATTCTCAATTTTATTTATTTTATTCATAAAATGAGAAGTTTGATTAAGTAATTCCTATGACCTTTCTAATTTAAAAATATAATTATATAAAATTAATGATTTAATAAGTATTGCAGTGCATATTATGCATGATAATACTTGAGTATTCATTTAAAATTAGTTTAGTGTTCATCTAAAATTAAATGATGTTATAATGAGAATAAAAATGCATAAAAATAATTTTTAATTCATTCTACAAACAAATAGAAAAAAAAAGTTCATCTGCCAAACTCAAACTTTTCATTAATGGTAGGATTTGTTTTAAGATGGATGTTTTACTTCACACTGTGAAATGATCTCTGTCAACAGCACCCACCTCTTGGGCACCTGTAGGACCAGTGCTAGCATCTGGCAATACAAAGTAGTTTCAGTCTCAAAATCTCACTCCTGCCCTGCAGGAGACTAGAGTATAGCTTCTGAAGCATATATAAAGAAGACAGGAAATTTCAAACAGCCACAAAGAAGAGCAGAGAGAGTTGGGAACTACTTTCTCTTAAGAGATTTGAGTTGAACTTGTCACTGCAGGTGTGAGAAGAGAGGAGTGGGGAGGCCATTCCTGAGCTGGACAACTAGGGGAACAGAGGAAGGGCTGTTCCTAATATGCTTAGAAAATGTGTTTGACTTCACATGACTGGTGAGACCAAGAAACAGTGGTAGGCAGAGTCAGAAAGAAAGGTAAGAAATAGCTAATGAAGGATCTTCAGCTTCAGGGAAAAACAATTTTTTTTGGTTGTTGTTCCAAAGGTAGTGGGAAGCCACTGATGGTTAGGAAGGAAGAGGATAGCAAATGTAATGCAAGATTCCAAGACAGTTTTTTCCAGGTAAAAATGAAAGCAATATTTTATGTTCCTATAATGATTTTACGAGGAAGTAGAAAATATGAATGGAGCAATCAATTAAAAAGTGAGAACTCAATGAAAATCATAATTTTCTCTTAAGGATTAAAGGGAAAATATTTATAAAATGTAGCCCTTAATTTAAATGAGAGAGTATTAAAAGCACTGCAGTCTATTTTCTTCAATCAAAAGTTGAGAGTAGTGTCTTTGAATCTGTTTACTGGATTTTGCTGTCTTTGTACACTATTTTATAATTACTTAAAATATCAATAGCATTATAGATCAATAAAGAAAATTAATAGTGCACATTACGCCCTTTAATGCCATATCATCTAGTGATTTTTTTAATCAAATTAATGCTGCCAGTTCAATTGGAATGAACTTTTGAAGGTAAATTTTTAGAATAACATAAAAGGCACATATATAATCCATTATCCATTAAATTCATTGATGTTGTGACAAAAGTTTCTTTCCCTATTGTTATCACTACTATAAGTGTAATAAAGCAAATTTCTTAAGCTGTATTTTTAAATATTTTTAGTTGTAAATGGATACAATAACTTTATTGTATTTATTTATCTTTATGTGGTATTGAGATCAAACCCAGTGCCTCATATGTGCTAGGCAAGCACTCTACCATTGAACTACAACACAACCTTATGCTGTATTTTTATATGCTACTTATGATAGAATTTTTTTATGATAATTTGTCATCACTCAAATTCTACTAAAATATATTTCAGTGCCACACACATAGATTATTGCAATGATGTAATAATGGTTTGTATAGAAGTCAAGTTGGGATTTTAGATTAAAACTAACAGAAAAATAAAAGCATCCAGGGAAGAAAAAGTTCCAAACATATATGCATTTTACCTGTATACATTATACCATATATGATTTATTTATAAGCTGAAAGATTTCAGAAATAATTTAGTCAAATACATACATATATGATATGGGAATATGTCCATAGACTTCAAAGGAAAACAATATATTTTTGATAATTCTTTCAAAAAATAATCATGGAAAATAATTTTGTTAGGGTTAAGATACTTAACCTATTTTGAAATACAAGTAAAGTAAGCATAATTAAATTAAAACTATATAATGAATACAATTGTATTATTTGGAAAGAAGTATAAGAAGGTTCATACTAATGGGGTAGCCTGAAGAATTCATAGATATTGCTTATATTTATGTGTTTAAAGAAAAGAATATTTTTAAAATAATTTATTTATTTATTTCACCCTCCCTAAAACCAAACACTACTCTATAAGCTAACATTCAGTTTTCTATTCTTTTTCATTTATACACTTCTTTGGAAAAAGTCATTCCCATTTAGCTTCCTTAATCTCTAAAACTAAAAAAAAAAAAAACTTCCAATATAGAACTAACTGATCTTCAAAGCTGCAGTATTATATATCTATATGCTTTCTAGACATTTCTGCTTAGCACTTAGAAATATATCTAGATCCAGTTCATTATCTTTTTCCTCCAGTCAACAATCCCTCTTTCCAGTTTGAGAAATTGGTAGACTCCTTCTTCCTCAATTCCCACATCAGTAATGAAGTATCATTCTTTGCCTCCATACATATATTTACATAGGAACTTACCTTTACAACCCATTGTCTTGATACTGTGACAGGTTATCTCCCTCAGGCCTGCTTCTGAACTGCTTTCCCTACTTTCAGGCCCATTTCAACCATAATCCACCCTGCCAATCAGTTCCATTGCTTTCTGCAGAATTTCTTTTTTACAATTAGCATACCTGAGGGGTGACATCAGCAAGATGGATGAGGAGAGGTGTCTGGCACTTTTCCCTCCAAAATAAAGAACCAAATCAAGGGGCTATTTCTCTGGAGTGTTTAAAACAGAAGACCAAAGTTCAGTGGGAAGTTGCAGAGATGTCATTGAAGAGACATGGAAACTTTATAAAGAAGGGAACTGAGTAAACAGCATCTCCTGTACATCTCCCAATATCAAGCCTGAACCAAAAAACTTCATGTGGAGGTCCTACTTAGGCAGAAGAACCCCAGTAGTCTCATTTACACCATAGACACCCTAAGCATTTACTGCTGGAGATCCATCCCCACAGTCCTTGAAGGTCTTGAACCCAGCTTGGGGAGCTGTGGGTTATTATACCAGTGTATTATCATCAACAAAGAGCACAGAACACACCGTGCCCTTCCCTGTCCAGGCTCCTGCAGAACACCATCTTGAGATCCTACCCACCCATGTTCCTGTGAGGTAGCCAGATATCTAAGGCCTGCAAACCAGCTGGATTCCCCTGCCTACCCTCCCACAGTCCCCAGCAAGCAGCTGGGCAGCCTTCCCTGAGTGGCTTAGCCTGATGAGGTTTGGGGAAGCAGATGGGCCTCCCCACCATACACCTCCAGCCTGGGAAACAGATGGGAGGCCAGATCACCCACAGTTAGCCTGGGGAAGCAGCTGAACCAACCCTAAACAGGTTGGCCAACAGAGGCTCTGGGATCAGATGGGCAGCTACACCTAACAACTGCTGGCAGGATACCCTGAACTGCTCAAACTACAGGTGCCCTAGGAAGCAAAAGGGCAATTTTACCTATTCTCCTGAAGCTACTAGAAGTAGCAGGAAGCCTCTCTTGAGAAAATTAGATGACTGAGGACCAGAATTGTATCCAGAACCCCAGGAAACAGCCAAGTAACCTGTCCTGAATGATTTAGTCCATAAAGGCCTTTGGAAGCATGTGGATAGCCCCATCCACATATCTTCAACCCCAGAAAACAGCTGGACTGCCTATCCCAAGCAGGCTGAGGATAGATCTTGCTAAGTCACCTATGTAGCTCTGGGATATTTAAGGACAACCTAGTCATTCCTGTCTGTGTAGGCTGGCTCCTGCATGGCTTTAAAAAGATGATAGGTAACCTTGCTCTGCTACCAGGATCACTGCTCCACAACACCTATTTCCACAGAGGCAGCCCCATTTCCACACAGCCCTCAGAAACAGATGGATGCTCTGTCTATACAGATGGTCCAGGTCCATCTTACCAGCGTGAGCGTGCCAGACTGGATCCACTGGATCCTGACATAACCTATGGAACATAATAGGTACCCTACAGGTGCAGTCAAGAGCAAATTATTAAGAGCCACTAACTAACCAACCACATCCAAGAGGGTTGCATCCCTGCTGGCAATGCAAACCATGACCTCTATGGCCTAGGCCGCTGAGACACTCCCGGGCATCACCAGCATTGATCATGACTATGGAAGCTGCACAGACAAGACCGTAAGGCACCTATGTGGAACCAAAACAAACATAGCCTCTCTAGACCCTAGGTCATCACAGAAAATTCGTAACTGAGAAAACCATATTATAAAATTAGTAGAGGCAACTGACCCTTCAGTTACACAATTACCAGTGTACAGACACAAGGAGCATGAAAAGGAGAACATAATGTGACAACTCCAAAGGCACATAAGGACTCTAGCAACAGACTCCAAAGAAGAACAAGTTGACTAATTACCTGGCAAATAATTTAAAACAATGACTTTAAGAAAACTCAATACAATAGGAGAGAATACAGACAGAACAGTCAATAAAATTGGGAATGTAATTCATGATCTAAGTGAAAAAGTCAGCAAAGTCAGAGTTCATAAAAAAGAACCAAACAGAAATCTTGGAGCTAAAGAAATCAATAAATGAAATAAAAGAATGAAGAAAGTCTACAAGACTTATAGGACACTAGTAAGTGACCAACATTTGCATTATTGGCATTCCAGAATAAGAAAAGGAAAAAGGCAGAGAAAATCTATTCAAAGAAATAATTGCTGAAATCTTTTAAATCTTGTAAAAGATATCGGCATCCACATTCATAGAACTCAAAGGACTCCTAATAGATTAGACTAAATAACAGGTTCTCTGAGGCATATTACAGGCAAACCGTCAAAATTGCAAGACATTCTCTCTTTGTATTTCTTTCTTCCTTGATTTTCTAAGTCTGGCTTATTTCACTTAGCATAATGTTCTCCAATTCCATTTATTAACCAACAAATGCCATAATTTCCAAGGGGAAGGGAGGAAAAAAGGAAAAAGAGAAGAAAAAGGAAAGAATTTGAGCAAATTATACTATGTGTATGTATGAATATTTCAAAATTCATTCAAATTTAATGTGTAATTATAATGCATCAACTAAAAAGTAAGATAGAAGACAGACTAATTGAGTAGATGAAGAGTATCTGAGGAAGGGTGGAAAAGAGGAAGTACTTTGGTTGAAAGAAAATGGAGAAAACTATATATTCATATATGAATATGTCAAAATGACCCCAATTATTTTAACTATGATGCCCTACAAATAAATGAATAAGCAAATAAGAAAAGTTCAATACCAAGAGTGATTTCTAAAAAAATCAAGATAAAAGCATCAAGTCATACATAAGGGAATCCGCATTGGTCTAAAAGCAGACTTCTCAGCAGAATCCTCAAGGGCCAGGAGAGAATGGGGTATATTCAAAGTCTTAAAGGAAAAAGGAAAAACAAAAACAAAAACACAAACAAAATCAAACAAACAAACAAACAAACCCCAGCCAGACCTAGAATGCTATACATGGCAAAGTTATATTTCAGAAATGAAGGAAAAATAAAGACTTTCCAAGACTTGCAAAAACTGATAGAATTCATCACCACCAGATCAGCTATACAAGAAATACCTAAGGGAGTCTTCTAGTAGAAGTAAAACAATGATAATCACAATTCTGCAAATGTGCAAGTTCACAAAAATTACTAGCAGAGTCAATATATACAAAAGAGAAGAGAATAAAACCTTATCAATACAGAAAACCATCAAATTACAAAGATGAACAATAAGACAGGAAGAAACGAACACAGGACATGCTAAACAACTACAGAAATTAACCAAAGGAGAAGACTATGGCTTTACTTATCAATAATGAGCTTGTATATAAACAAAATATATTCTGCAAATAAAAGGCTTAAACTGGAGGGATGGATTTAAAAAAACAAACAAATGAAAAATGATCCAATGGTAAAATGCCTACAAGAAACTCTTTCATCAGTAAAGGCACACACAGACTGAGAGTGAAGGGACAGAAAAAGATAAGCCAAGCAAACCAAAATGGGAAGCAAGGAGAAATGACAGTTATTTCATATAAAATAGACTTTAAGTCAAAAACTACATGTAGAGATAAAGAAGGTCACTATGTGACGGTAAAGTGATCGATAAAACAAAGAAATAACAATTATAAATATATATACATGTGATGCGAGAGTGTCCAGTTATTTAAAACAAACATTCTTAAATGCTAAATGAAACATCCTTTTATTTTAAAAGGAAAAATGGATCCAGGACAGTAGATTTCAACATCCCACTTTCATCATTGGATAGATCATCCAGACAAAAAATCCATAAAGAGACATTGGAGTTAAACTACACACTATAGATTAAATTGACCTAATGACATATCACAAAACATTCCATCCAGCAGTTGCAGAATTGACATTCTTTTCATCCATATGTAGCATACTATCTGGCACAGACCACTGCTGGGCCACAAAACAAGTCTCAAGAAATACCAAAAACTGAAATCATAACATGTTTTTTCTGACCAGAGTAAAAGAGGCTAGAAGTAAGTAACAAGAGGTTCTTTGGAAATTTTACAGATACAAGGGAATTAAATAATGTTCTCTGAAATGACAAATGTCAGTGAAGAAATCAAAAGGAAATTTAAAAAAAGTATTAGAAGAAATTGAAAATGAAAACACAACATAGCAAAATCTATGTAATACAGTAAAAACAGTACTAAGAAGGAAGTTTTTTTTTTTTTTAAAGAGAGAGAGAGAGAGAGAGAGAGAGAGAGAGAATTTTTTTAATATTTATGTTTTAGTTTTCGGTGGACACAACATCTTTATTTTATTTTTATGTGGTGCTGAGGATCAAACCCAGCGCCCCGCGCATGCCAGGGGAGCGCGCTACTGCTTGAGCCACATCCTCAGCCCCATAGAAAGAAGCTTTTAAAAATACACACCTACATTACAAAAAGGATTTCAAATAATCCAATGGTACAACTCAGGGAAGGAGAAAAGCAAGACTAAACCTCACTCAAAATTAGTGGAAGGAAATAAATAATCAAGAGCAGAACATAAATAAAATAAAGAGAAAAAAATCATACTTATATATATGTAGATACAAATAAACTTATCAACAAAGTGAAGTCTCTCACTAATGTTTTCCTCCTTAAATATACTTTTATTAATTAACTATATGAAATTTGAAGTCAAAGAAAATGTCTTAATTATCACCATATCACATCTTTAAGATAATATTATTACTGTAGTCTATGTAAAATCTATATTTTTCAATGAATCGAATTTCCTAATGGACCTTTTTCTAATTTTTAGAATGTCGGTATTATAATTTTAGTGCACATTAATTATACAAATCAGTGGATTTCACTTTGGCAATTTTATATATGCATGCATTGAGCTTTGATCATGTCCCTCCTCCCTTCTCTTCATGTGTTTTGACCTATTTTACTTTAGCTCTCAGGAACTCTATGGTATTTAGAATTAAGTAGTGTGGAATATTTCAGGTTTTCCTTTGAGTTGTTTTCTTATTATACCACAAGTTTTATTTCCTCAAATAAATATAGAATTCATGCCACTATTTCCTTCTTTGTTCCACCTTTCATGTCCTTTCTTTTAAATAACCCTATAAGTTTTATAGTATTGCACATCACATGCACATTTTTAATCAGAAATAGACTTTATAAGCATTTGTATCACAGAAAAATAAGGGGCTATAGTGGTAACATATAAAATTTATACAGAAATTAGTAGTTTTCTAAAAATGCATGTCCATTATAAGATATGAGATCAACTTACACAACATCATTGAGTTCAAGCCTGGTATCTGGAGATGGGTTAATCAGGATGTAGGAGAGGGTACTTTGATGATCATTCATTTCATCTAGAAGATAAATAAATGCCAAGTTTGTTATATTATTTACAGAAAATGACAGGAATTATTGCAGATCATCCTTTGTTCAAACCATGCACTTGTCAATGAGAACTTGCTACAAATGTCACCACAGTATGACTGGGTATATAAGTTTGACTATTTTCAAATTATTGTCATTGGAAATATCTGACAGGTATCCATTTGTTGTCCCAATAGATGAAAGAAAAAAGTACCTAATTCTCTTCCGAGCAAACATAGTTGGAGTTATTACACTGAAAAAAACATTTCTACTAAAGAAATGGCTGGGCTAGTTGATTATTTATTATGCCTTATAAATTATTAAAAATAATTTTGTTTAAAGACAGTTATTCCAGAAAAAGCATTCATATCGTAAATTCTTTGAAAAAATATCTAATTATATAACATTTAGAAAGCATGATAGAAATGTGTCTAAAAACCTTAAAAGTCCCAGAATATGTTCGATTTTATAACCTAATATATTTAAATAAGCCATCCTGGTTTTTTTTTTGGAAAATGCAAAGCATCCTATGAAATTAAATTTAACCATATTTAACAAAAGTAAGTGTACCATTGAATCACTTGTTTTTCATCTAAATCACTAAATATTAAAATAAAGAATGTACAATTTTAATTTTGTTAATTCACTCTGAAAACATCCTTAAGGGGGAGGTTAGCACTATGCAGGTGCAATAGCTTAGATGTAGCCTGAATTGTGTGTCCCAAAGGTTCATGTGTTGGAAGGTTGGTCCTCACTATGGAGACATGGGAGTGGTAGAACTTAAAAGGTTGATCTAGGGGTTGGTCATTGGAGGCACTGTCCTCAGAAGGGACTGGGACAATTCTCTGAGCTAGTTCTAATAAGAGCAAGTTGTTATAAAAGAGTAAGACTGGCAGCTCCTGGCATTCTGCCTTCCTGTTTCACCTTGGGATTTCTCCATTTCATATATACTCCTGCCATGAGGTGATGTAGCCAAGGGGACCATTACCATGGCTCAATCAACAGGACCATCCAATCTTGGATATTCTGCCTCCAAAACTGTGAGTTAAAGAAACTTCTTTTCTTTATAGAGTGCCCAAATTAAAGTTAATAAACATAATTCATCCCATGGGTAATCTGTATATCCTGTGAGGATACTCTTAACAAATCCTGCTCCATGGCCATAGAATATTTTTGCGTTTTTTCTGTTGCAAGTAAGCACGCTTCCTGAAGGAACTATTAAGTTTTACAGTTTGATCAAAATTCTAAAAATAAATTTCATACTAATGAAGAGACATCAATACTTAAATAACTGTATTATAGTAGAGATCTTATAAGACCAGCATGACTGACCTTGATTAAAAAATAATAGCTGTCCTAGAAGATATGTTATTTTTATAAAATAAAATTGGCCACTGTGTTCATGTGACTAGAAAACTATCACACTAACATGAAAGACAACATTTTCACTTGTGGTATTTCAAATAGATATGCAAGAATACTTATTTTTAATGTTTACAAATAAAAATTCTTACAAAGAAAAACTAACCATAAGTTTACCAATGTAACTATTATAGTCATAGGCTCATCAAGTTAATATTCAAATAAAAGAATATAATTTGGTTGAAAGTCTATGGGTTAGATACAAAAACTTGAATCTTATAATAACGTTAGGGTTATAGGCAAAATGGATAATTCCCAGTGAAATATGAATTATAGGTAAACAACTTATAGTTGGTTTTAATATAAATATGTCCCAAAGACTATATGTGACATTCTACAATTATTTGTTGTTTATCTGAAATTCAGATTCCACTGGGAATTCAGTATTTTTATTTGCTAAATCTAGCAATTACACGTGTGAATAGATAGCTCACTAAACTAGCTGGAACCTGGAATCCAACTAGTATAAACTGATGTTTTCTCGAAATATGGTCCATTCCAGCATAATGAATAATGCACAAAGAGAACATAATCAGAATGATTTCTCCTTATGCAAAACAGGTTTTTGCTTTGACTAGCACATTAGAATCATACATCATAGTTGGATTCATTTTGACAAAATCATACATTCATGAAGTTTAATTTATAACCATTTCATTCATGGTGACTCCACTCCTCTCTCCCTCACTCCCTCTATTTCCTTTACCTCTACTCTACTGTTCTTCAATTCACTCACTTATCTATTTGTTTATAATTGGTATGAAAAGCAATTTTGATTCAAGTCTTTTTTTCTTGAGAAATTTTCCTCTCATGTGAATTTCCACGACTGCTTTTCAAAGAAACTGAAATTGACAATGCACTATGGAGACTAAATCATATAATCCACCGAAACATACTAGGACTACCAGAAAATCTCCTTTTCATTTGGCTACAAATGACACAGTTTCTTGTCTAAGCAGTGGAATTACTGAACTATGACACAAGGAAAATATTTTAACAGATAACTTTTCAGACGATATTCACAAATGCTTTGTTGGAAGGCCTGCAGTTGTCTTTTTCTCTTTGTGACTTTATATTTAAGAAATACTGAGGTTCAAAAAAAAATTATATTGGAGTTACACATAAAAGTCACATTCAACAATAGTTATTATCAGTTGTAAATCTGGTATTTCTGCCTCTATGATTCATTCTCTGTGGTTTTTATTTTAAATTTCTAAATTCTGTATGAGAAAATGATACAAGTTTGCTGGATTGTTAAGACCCCATCATAATAATTATCACTGACTATAGCAAAAACACATAATGATCACAAATGAGGTCTGAACCAAAAGTATAAAACCATACTTATTGACCGAAATAAATTTCCTTTGGTAGGTTTGGTTTCATAAACTCCAAAATCAAAATTCTATTTTTAAAGAAAAAATATCTACTAAGAGAATCTATTGCTAAATATTCACTGTGTTCCGATAAACTCTGATCTTGGCAAATTAACAAACAGCATTATATAGTTTAAATTTCTGCCAGTGAAAGTATCGCTTCAATCTTGAGATAATTATCTAATTAAAATGAGATAATTATTTAAATAAAACTGTTATTATGATAAATTGTTATTATGATAAATTGAAAATATAGAATATCGAAAACTTTATAAGAAATTCTATAGGGTTAAAAAGTCAAAGAGTACAGAGTATTACAGAGAAACTTATTTTTTCTAAGTTAATTTCTAAATTAATTAGCATATACTTATTCAGTTAAAATTTTCAAGTAGAAAATATTCTTAGTTTGTATAAGTGGATCTTAAATAAAGGAAATAAAATCATACTCCTATAGTTCTTAAAAATTAATTTATGCATACTAATTCACAAATTGTAAATTTAAATTTTTACTATATTTTGTTTGAAATTTTCATTTGAAATATTTTCAGGATTTTTGAAAAAGAAGAATAAAGTTTAAATGTTTCCTGTCAGCTATGAGAGGCCTCACAATGTACCAGTCTTTTTGGTGCCTTGATCATGGACTTCCAGCCTCCATAATTGTGAGAAAACAAACTTCTAATTTAGGCCCCCTAGTTTGTGGTATTTGTTATGATGACCCTAGTAAACAAATATAACTTCTGAAAAAACATGTCCATTATGTAATCTTAATCAAAGAAATATTTTGGATAATAAAATATCAGATTAAGAGGTCCATTTAAGACAAAAGCCTCCTAAACCAGATTGTCTACATTAAAATTCTGGCTCTATCTATGACAAATTATGAGATTTTAGGGAATTCACTTAATTTCACTTATTCTCAATGGGTTTAGTTTCCTCACCTGGAAAACAGGAACAATAGTAGTGTTATCACATAGTTTGTTGTAGAAATAAATTATAAGTAAATAATACAATTTTAAATTAATATATAGTTCTTAGGCATAATGCCTAGTTGATATCAGATATTATGAAAAGATTACCTAATATTATTATAGCAAGCAAAATAAAGCTATAAATTATAAGTAAAATTATAAATTTGTTGGAACATAAAGGTGTTGTCAGGCAAAGGTAGTGGAGTGTTCCAAACCAAGTAGAATGGGAACTGGGACACCTGAGATAGTGCAGTTTAAGAGGAGAAGCAGGCACTAGGGCATGGGCGCAAGTGAACAAAGGGATTAACTGCAAATGATTAACTGCAAATGATGTTGAAAAGGCAACAGGGGTTAGGGGGGGTGGGTCGAGATCCCTGAAGGGCTTGTGGATCTTGGATGGGAGTTTGAATTGTATTCTAAGTATAATGAGAAAGCATTTAAAATTTGTCAGGTATGGTAGTGGGGTTGGCAGCATGATCCAGTTTTCTATTAAATATATATTTTTGCTCTGTGGGAAATGAACTTTGGAAGGGACCAAGTTTAGATTCAGAAATATTAGGCTTTTTTGAAACAGAAACATAGGTGAGAGATGATGGTTATTATGGAGTAATAAATAGGAAGGAAGAGGGAAGCTATATAGAAATGAAAAAGATATGAAGACCAACAGGGGGAGGGAGGGAAGAATGGAGCGAGATAAAGTTTTAAGATGGGAGATACCACACCATGTGAAATCTTTCATATTTATCCACATTTATAATTTTGTGGGTATAAATCCAAACTTCCACCTAACATTGTTTACATCCTGTCTTAGCAATGTCCTTTAACATTGTTCAGAGTAAAGATACGCTATTAGTGAAATCTCTTAGCATTTGCTGAAATTGTCTTTATTCACCTTCATTTTAGAGAGTGATAATAAATACATATGTCCGGGTAGACCATATTGTTTTAGGTACACTAGGTAGTACTCCAAAGATGTCTCTCTATGGTTTTTGGATTTGCCAAATTTTTAACAGGATGTCTGTTGACAGATTTCTTCTTCTTTTTTTTTTTTTTTAAAAGAGTGTGTTTTTTTAATCCTCTGACTCCTTTTGAGATATTTTATCATTTATTTATAGCAATTTTGTATATCATGTCTTGGAATTATTTTTAATGTTATATTACTTGAATATAAATTTTATTCTTGCATATAAGTTATCAAATTCAAAAAAGTGACCATTATTATTT